TATGATGAGCACAATGGTAGCAGCTCTCACACTAGTGGAGAGTCTGCGGGCGACGGGACTTCTCGGGCAGGGTCACAGGCGGGGGAGACCCCGAGGGCCGACGGCCCCCACAGAATTACCGTGGCGGAGAAGACCTGGAGCTTCATGCGCAGCGAGAGACCAGGTAGCTTCCACACAGCGTAACGCAGCCGATGAAAAGTGAATGGCGCTCGACTAATTTGGAGTGAGACCTCTGCTGTTAAACCGGAGCCGGTCATGAGCACACTGGCCAGTTATGGGAATCTTTCCGATCTCTCCACAACTGCCGCATTACTAATTGTGAGTTGTGGGGGTGGTTTGTCCAATGGTACAAAATACCTAGGCTGGTGCTTAGTTTTGGTGGGGCTGATGGTAAGGCCCCACCTCTTAGTGGCAAGCTCCAGGTTCAGCAGCTGTGAGCAGCAATGACCAGAGCATCGGCATACATAACATGGTTGAGCAATATGGAGGCATCCCTTGACCGCACCCGGGCATCGATCAGCCTCCCATTGTATCTGTACCATATAGTAATTCCTCGGGTACAGCCATTGAAGACTTCACGAACTACGTGGTCAAAAGATGTTAAATAATGTGGAGCCAGAGGACATCCCCGTCACACCCCAAGGTGTAGAGGGAATGGCTCTGACTGACGGCCACGTAGTTTGACGCGGGGCCGCTCACCATCATGAAGGTCCTTAAGAATCGTGAGCAAAGTTTGAGGGACTCCGAAAGCATGAAGAACAACCCAAAGGCCAGGCCTACTGATGGTATCATAGGCCTTGAGCAGGTCAATAAAGCACATACTCACTCACACGCACACATGGACCTACAGACACGCAAAGAAATGGACTTACACTGACTGACATGGAGCCACGCACACAAAGCGACTAACACAGACGCCCATGGACTGACACACACAGACATATCGACTCACACACACAAACACACGGACTTACACACACACACATATGGACTCACACACACATAGACATGCACTTTAGATACACACACATGGAGTTACACACACATGGAGTTACACTCACATATATCGACGTACACACATACAGCGACTCACACACACACGACTCACACACAGACATATGTGGATTCACACACACATTGACGTAAACACACATGTACTTACACACACACATATCGACTGCCATGCAGACACATCGACTTACACACACACATTCACTTAGACACACACACATGGAGTGAAACACACACGTATGGACTTACACAGACATGTGGACTAACACACACACAGAGACTGATATGCACAAAAATGGACTGACACACAAACACTTGTACGTACAAACACACACATGGGGCGTTGTCCGTTTGAAAAAGACAGACACACACATGGACTTACACACAGACATGGACCCACATACATAGAAACCCATCGACTTACATGCACACAAACACATATGGACTCACACACACAGACATCGACTTTAGACTTGATAGCAGTAACTGCATGCATTTGGGGGGGGAAGAGGACATCACACTGTGAAGAGAAATCAGCAGCGTGATGTGTATATTTATTCCATGTTAAAGGCGTAAAATAAAATGTCCGCCCCCCCTCCCCCCCAGGCAATTGTCGTGAGTTGTTACGGTCGATGTCACGCAATAAGTAAATAATTAAATTAAGAATGCTACTTATTCGTTAATTAAACGACTTAAAACTTTAGGGACGTGAAAACGGAATAGCCTATTCCCACCACGGAGCTTAGGGTGTGCCGGCTGGCAAATTATTTCGGTCTTAAAACCCACCGTCAGAGAACCAAATCCCCCGTAAGCGCGAGCGTGCAGAGACTTTTATATATAAGAGAAAGAAAGAAAGAGAAGAACAAGAAGACTAGTGGGAAGTACCCGGCATTGCCCAGGCAAAAAATCTATTTCAAAACTTCTAGAAAAAACCTAACATATACATATGTAATGTGAGAATATATCCGGGTCGCTGACGGATCATAACTCGTCACGATGATTGGCTCTGCCGGTCCTAGTCCATAGCCAATGGGGGGAAGCCTAGGGGCGTGGCCCTGACGTAACGGGAAGGTGAGTAGAGGATTGGTTCTGCTGGCTTTAGCCACAGCCAATGGGGAGACGAGTCAGGGGCGTGGTCCCGGGAGCCTACGATGGAGTCTAGAAGATTCCACAGAGGCTAACCAGGATTGGTGGAAAGGTACCACGTGACCCGGGTATTAAATAGGGGTGGAGATGAACAACACGTGGTCAGAACTGGAACGAACGGAGGGAGAGGCCACGCGAGAGCGGGGGTCAAGGCAGCCACGTGGCTGCGCGCGTCTCTCTATCCCTCTCACGCTGTCTGTCAGCAACATGAAGGAGTGTTGTAAAGAAAGACAAAGAAAGACTGGATTCCAGAAGTCGCTTCCACGACCTTTATTACACATACACAGATACTAAGGTATTGTGAAAGTCCAGTGGGCCGTTTGTCCATTTCTCCACCAACAAAATTATAAGAGGCTTGCAGAAGTCAAAAAAGTTATATAAGGTGGGGGGTAAATAGTTGATCTAAAAGGTTACCGAAAATAGTCGACCCCCACCTAAAAAAGGTATTTACCCCCGCGTAGGTATATATTCCTACATACGCTACCTACAACAGAGTAAGTAGTATCTCCTGACTGCACTGAGCCAGTAGTAGCTACTGACTGTATAGTAGTATTTACTGACCGTAGTGGTATATACTGACTGTTTTAGTATCTAACTCTATATAGCAGTATCTACCAACTCGATAGCAGTATCTGTCACTACAGCAGTGCATATCGACTGTGGTGGTACCTGCTATCACTACAGCAGTGTATACCGACTGTGGTGGTTCCTGCTATCACTACAGCAGTGCATACTGACTGTGGTGGTAGCTGCTTTCGCTATAGCAGTGCATACCAACTGTGTGGATACCTGCTATGACTACAGCAGTGCCTCGTGACTGTGGTGTAACCTATCACAAAGGCAGTGCATACTGACAGTGGTGGTACCTGGTATCACAAGAGCAGTGCATACTGACTGTGGTGGTACCTGTTATCAGTACAGCAGTGCATACTGTGGTGGTAGCTGGTATGATTACAGCAGTGCATAGTGTGGTGGTACCTGCTATGATTACAGCAGTGCATATTGTGGTGGTACCTGCTATGATTACAGCAGTGCATATTGACTGTGGTGGTACCTGCTATTACAGCAGTGCATACTGACTTGTGGTACCTGCTATGATTACAGCAGAGCATAGTGACTGTGGTGGTACCTGCTAGCACAGCAGTAGTATATACTGTTTCGCAGTATATATGGAATCTATAGCACAAAGTAGTAAGCAGAGTGCCGTGGTGAGGCCTAGTCCCCTGCAGAGCCCCCGGGCTCGCCTAGATTTACCAGCTCGCCAAGGTGTCACCTGGCAGGCTGGGGGCTGGTCCTGACCCCCGGCCACGCGACAATAATGAGATGTAAGCGCTATAATATAATGTAGGGGCTCTATAGTCATTTCAGGACGCAATGGGGGTATCATTGTGGTGGGGCGAGAAGAGGACATCGCACTGTGAAGAATCTACGTGTTGTGTTTTTGCTGCATATGTAAGGCGAATGCAAATTTGTGGCGATTGTGTGTGCGTTGCTAGGGGCAACCCATGTGAGCAGTGCAAAGTGTAATTAAATAAATGCTCATAAGACGAATTTGTGGGACTTACGTCTTATCTAAAAGCATATCATACAAAAGTGTGCGACTTACCTTGGCGCGTGTGGATTTCTGGGGGTAACCTCGTGGGCGCTGTGCGCAAGTGCAGCAGGCTGCGTTGTGACCCAGTGCACGGCGAAGATAAATAAATAAAATACAAACTAACCAAATAATGAAATTTATCTCGCCAAAAAAACGCTAATTTAACTAATTTCAAGGTGACGGACGTGAAAAATGAATAGCCGATTCCCACCGCGGGGCTTCTGGCGTGCTGGCTCGCAAGTTTTTTTCGACAAAGCCCACCGAGAGCCAAATCCCTCGCAAGCGCGCGCGTGCGGAGACTTTTATATATAAAAGAAAAAAAATAACGGTATGCATAATACAGTGAAAATGCTCTCATCTTCATTATTTGTGACCTACCAATGTCTGTAGCCAGGATCTATCGATAACAATCCTATTACCTGCAGATATTTAACAGATGAGATGCGTTGCACCGTTAATGCCTCCTGTTTGATAATACTTCTCTTGTCCGTATGCATCTGTGCAGATAGGTTTTTTTGTGGTTAAGCCATAGTCCCCACATACCGCTCGTATCAATGCGAATAAGTGGAGCGACGACCCACTGTAGAACATTGGTTTCAACGCTTGTTACAATATGAACAGCGCATTGAAAACGCGCACTATTTTATTTACTGTTTACAAAGTGTGTTTACAAATCCACACTGAGAAACACGCTTGACAGAGGGGTATAAATTATACTGGTAGGAACCACCTGGTTCCACCAGCCCACAGGGGATTGTGTCCGTCCGTAGTGCATCCAAAAATTGGAAGGGGTGGGGCTGGGTGGAGAGGGTGGGGAGGGGCTGGTCACCCCGTGGTGCCCTTTTAAAACTCAACGTTTAACCTACTCACGCCGGCTTGTGCCCACCCTCAGTCGGCCATATTTGCGGAATACACCACGCCGCCGTTGACCGACCAACCCAACGTTCCTTCCAGCTCCCTCCGCAGGAATGTGTTTTTTTCGATAGTGTATTTAAATAGAGGTAATGCAGGTAAGTAGTTTTCAGTTTTAAAGGCATAGTTTAATAAGACAACACTTGCCATCATCCTTCAAACCCATTGGTATAATGTAAACTCAAGTTTTTATTTACATTATGTTTATGCAAGAGCTTATGGGACCACGGAGCCCCACCATAAGTAGAATTGTGAATTGTAAAAATTCTGTATTGAAAGAGCTTGCCATTATAAATTTAGAAACTCCAAAGCAGGCTTTAAATGAAAACAACACACATTTACAACTGAGATTAACCTTTATTAAACGCAGATTGATCAGTATTCAACAGCAGCCACTTCATGTGGATGAAGAGAGCATGCATAGATAGCAAAGTGCGCAATGATTACAACATCTGTGCTGCTTGACTATGGGTTCTGCAACTTACGAGTGGTGTTTCCTATCTTACACATCACGCGTGCATCGTATACCGACAACTCTGGTTACGCTCGTTTATCCAACAAAGCCACACCGAGTCTCAATACTCTTTTTCAGGAGAGTCTTGCCACGTTTTTTTCCATCGGGACAAAGTTGCTGTGTAATCCTAATGTAGTAATTTGCATTTAAATAGTGTTTTTTTCTTTGGGATAAAACTGGAAATCCCAGAGGAAACCCATGCAGAACAGAGGGAGATCATACAAACCCCACACAGGAGCCCGATTCAGAAATCGAAACTAGGTCCTTCTTGCTTTGAGGCACTGCGCCACCCTGCAGACTATTGTAACATACTCGAGGCTACCAGTTGGCCAGCGCGGTTGGTAACCAGTATGCAAGGCATTGCTTGAAACAGGTTTGCATCTTCATTGTATGGTACTCTTGTTTTAGCAGTCTGACACAATTAAAAAATAATTTGTTTTTAACCAACTTCATTTAGGAGTCACAGGTTTTATTTAGCATTTTGACGAAAACGTTCAATATAATTTACGTGCATATCTGAGAATGGGAGTAAAATCAAGGCAACTTTAATATTTAAAATATTGAGTCACTATGATAAGTCAAACATAATTCATATTAGAGGATATTAACATGTAGGTTTGTACCTAATTGCTGAATTTGGTTAAGAGAATCGGTTCTTTCAACTTATCAGTGAGCTGAAACAACAATGACTGCTGCATAAAACATTTGACAATTTACTTGCTTGGTTGTATTGACAAAAATGTGGTCTGATCACGTGGCCTAATCAATAAAATAAAAGTATAATTTGGAACAGCGTTTCTTTAAGGGGCAATTCAACTTCAAGGAAATGGGCATATCTTTAAATGTTATACTTTAACTTTGAAGCAAGTGTTGATGAAATTGTGTAGCTTTGATTTTACTTCAACCAGATCAACTTGTCACCCACATCTGCATTGTATCCTGGTGAGTATTTCCGCCCAGGCAGCTGAAAAACAAAAGTGTCACCATTTACGTTAAAATTTGTATTCATCACTCGAATCAAGCTTGCAAGTTCACATCCTGGTTTAGAGATTGATTTAGCCCACAATCCCTCGGGGTTCAATAAACAGAGTACGAATTTGAGGGGAAGTCAATCGTGGTTGTCTGATGGACTCTCCCCAGGAATGTGAATTCCGTAAGCGGGGAATGATGCTAATTTGAGCAGGAGATTACTTGAAAATTGTTGTTACAGATTCTTCACACTGTGAGGGTATTTTCTCTAGGCTAGTGTGTTCGCTGAGACCAGCTCTTCAGGGGCTCATGATGAATGGTGAACCAAGTCTTTAGGCATAAACTAAGTCTTTTTGCACTGTCACGCATGATGCAACGTGTAATAACCAGAAAATTATGTATTTGGTGAAAAAATAATAACACCAATTTTGAGTATAAACTCGTGTTAATATGGAGGCCACCTCATCCATGTCCCAGCATGACTTGGTGTCACTATCCTTATAGGTGCTTGGTCTCAAGATGCTTGCGATGGCTCAGGCAAGGAAGGTACATCAGTCTGGTTAGTGATGTTTAACCTTGTTATTCTTATGCTAATTTACTAATTTCTGTAATTCTAAGTTCCCTAAAATGTGAATATCCATTTTTGTTATTCGATTCTCTGGTCTATGCATATGAATGATCAAATATTTAAAAGTTCCTTCTAAAGTTAACAAAAGGAATAGTAATTTGAACTCAAAACTAATAGATTTGATCTGATAAAAACTAACACATTTAGAGTAATGTATGACATTGTAGGCGATAAATGAACAAGTTACAGAACAACACTTCCTAAACTATTTCATTGTCGCCGTAGCTAAGCCCCTTCTTCTCTAATTGTCACTTGTAAAGGCATTGAAATAAATGGTGCGATACCAATTCAGTCACAGATGGGTAACGAAAAACAATAATTTTGTCTTGAAGGAGCAATCAAGACCAATGTACACATACTGCAGTGAGAAATATAGAGCTATTACACGAGTCAATGCGTTGGTGTGGTGAAGGTGAGTGGTGGTTGGTAGCTCACATTACGGTAGGAGTAATAGATTTCTTCAACTTCGTAAGGCCCGACGGTGGCTTCTGGGACGAACATTGATGTGACGGTCAGGTTGGCCACTTTCATCTTATCAGACATGCTGGGGGTAGAGGGTGAAGAGTGGAGGTATGTGTGGGAGGGAGAGAATCAATGCACATTTAGAAATAGTTTGGCCAATACAGGTTAATGGCCAATACCAGTTACATTTGTAGTGACTGTGAATGTCACTGTATGGTGCCGGGCTTACGAGGCCAAGGTGGATAATGTGTTGGCATTATGTGTAGCCCGCTTACTGGGCATAGTACCAGCCCTAGCGGGGCTTGGGTGAGCGCTGGTCAGCACCACGCACAGTGTGCGGTGCGGGCTCCCGGTGAGGGAGCGAGAGGGAGTGTCAGCCAGCCAGGGTTACGTCGGGGCATGATACGCTGGTTGACCTGCCGACACGTGACTGGATGATATTGTGGAGGGGAGCCACCGGTGGACGGGGGCCGCTGGGCGATCACGTGGTATAAAAGAGCTCTCGGGAGCCTTCAAGAAAGAACTCGAGAAATCTAGAAGGTGGGCGGGGTGAGGGGCGGAGCTAGCTCCAGCCCAGGCCGATATAACGGTGGCCCCGTGAGGGGCTCGGGGTTCTTCGTGTTGCTGGTGAAGAAGATCCACGTCGGGTAAAAGAAGCCTCTAGCCACGCAGTCCGGGACCCAGCTTGTGGTCCGGGCCAGGATAGCGAACCGTGTCTAGTTCTGCCGTAGCGTGGCTAGATGGGCATTCAACACCCAAGTGTAGGTTGTGTTATGTTATGTTGAGTTGGTGAAATAGTGTTGCTCCCAAGACAACGTCTGCGACTCAGTTGGACTCACTACACGTTGTATATTTTAAATGCGCTATAGTACCAGGAGGAAAGATATTCAGAACATTGGGGAGAACATACAAACTCCACAAAGAAAGACACCGGTCGAAGATTGAACCCAGGCTCTTCTGGCTGTGAGCCACACGTGTTACCATTGTGCCACACAAACAAAGATCCCCCATATAGCCTTAACAGACTGTAGGGGCAAGTGCTGTTAGCGAGCACCTATGAAGACCGGAACGGTACACGAGGTGGTGGGTGGCCAGCGCTACGCCCGACCGCCTTTGTCTCCCTAGTGGCGATGTTTACACACCACACCAGGTAATCTTTTGAGGCTGAGTCGACCTAGGGGAGGCCAAGGACCGGTTCAGATAATCGTCACTGGTGTTTGCCATGAGCGGGAATCGAACCCGGTCGCCATGTTCGTAGTGCAGCGCGCTAACCGCTACACTACCGCTCCCCACCACACTGCCACTCTATCACAAGCAGCATTCAGCAAGAGACCACTTACAAGTCACGAATGTGGTACAAGGTCACGTTATCCTGCAGCTTCCATGGATCCTTTTCCCAATTCAAGCTGATGATGTCGTCGTACACCTGTAATGCACGTACACGCAGACACGCACACACGTGTATGCGCTACAAGAGCACTCTCTGTTGCCAATGCTTTATCTACTTTTCTGCGACTATCCATGATTCCAGGTACTACGTGGCGATGCTGCACGTGGCCAGTAATCTGTGGAAGTGAGAGTTGGTGCATCACACGCACATTTGTGCAACTTCTGGCTTTCCAGGATATGGCAGTACAGCAAGTGTATTAATTTCCATCTCTATTCCATCTATATGGGGATTGAGTGTCACCACCCTCGCATGTATGGGTTTTCTACGGGTACTTTGATTTACTCCCACACGTGTAAACAGTGCGCTTTAAACATTCTCCAGTATGTTTAGAAGCAATTTGCAAGCATGATGCTATATTTAAATAAAATGTATTATCGTATCACAATAATAATTATCGTTATCTAATTACAAAGATCTCCGAGTTCACCACTTATAATTATGCCTTTCTATACCAAAAAATGAAGAAACATGAACCCATAGATTTACAGTACGGTCCCACAAAACGTTCAAAGAAGCAGGAAGTCCTGGAGTTTGGTGCACCTGGTTTAGTCAGATTATAAACAGGAGGAACCACAACACAAAATAATTTCGAAAATCAGCGAGTAGTTAATCAGATGAAACCTAGTAAAGCATTCTCTCAGATGACCTTTTGACCTTGAGCCTATGTGGTAATTATTCAAGTTCAAAACTTCCATGGATTTTTTTTTGTAAACGAGTCCACAAACAAGAACTGGATGTTTTAAGTGTGAATTGTAAAAGCTACCCGCTCAGTATCTTCTGCGATTTTCCAGTTGTACTCCAAGACCTCTGACACTTTTCTGCAAAGACAGACACACATGCTAGCTGACATCCTCACTCCCAAACTCCGTGCAAAGGACACAACGCACTGGGGACAGACAAGTTTCACTCTATACCGTATATAAATGTAATGTCTTCAAGCGCAATTCTACTTGCAACATTACTATAGTCTGTCATATGTCCGACTGTCAGTGGTGTGAACATGCACACATTTCTCAAGGAAGCTTGTGCATGTGGTGCAATAAAATACTTATGTTACCTGGCTTCTGGCAGGAACTTCTGCTTGTAGCAGGCATCAATGTTGGTCAAGTAGGCAGGGGAGATGTTCTGCTCCATTGGCTGTAAGCAAATGCCAGGACCGCACATACATTATGCCTTTCCACAACAAAACCCTACCATATTGTGATGGAACATTAAACGTCCCAAATACTCGCTTTAAGGGATTTATTTAGGCGATGTAACAAGTGTATAATGTATAAACATAATTATGTTGGTGTTTCAACCAAAAGTGCCACGTCTCCCGAAAGAGCAAAATTTTTACGCGTGATTATGCACTGCTGTCAAAGCAGCATCAACAGAAACTTTGTATAAAATGTATTACAAGTCTAGCCATAGACCTGTATTTTACAGGTAGGAACAACAGTTCCACACTGCCCACCAGGGATTATTTGTCTGTCTGTCTGTCGTGCATAGCCACGCCCTCGATTTGTATTTCATAGAGCACTTCTGGCGGGCTCAGCACCACGTGACGCGCCGCCCCACGCAGCTTGCGCCACGTGACACGGATCGCACGAATGCGCTGTCCAACCAAGTTCCTACCTGCCCACTCCGAAGGAATGTGTTTAGTCACGGCTCAGTTCAGCCTTGGCTCTGGCTCAGATGAACCAGCTAAAAACCACGCTCAACTTGAGACGGCTCTGAGCTTTGGCTCAGCCACGTTCAGGATTTCCGTGACCTGAGCCCGAGCCAAGCTACGGCTGAGCCACTCGTATATCTGTGAAAGCAGCTGAGCCGTGTCAGAGGCCAGGTCAGAGCCGACTCGTGACTAAGACCACGGGACGTATTGTCTGGGACAGACGTAACGGTGTGCTGTCACCTTTGCCTTCTGCTTGAGACGGGCCTGCACCTCCTCTACAGGCATGTCGATATACACCACCAGGTGTGGCGGCAGGAACTCGCATATGCTGATCGCCTTCAGCTCGTTGTAGTAATCCACACCTGTGAGTGACCGAACATCATATTAGCCCCTTTGCCTTTAATACATTTGAAACCACAGAGTGAAAAAAACACTCAAAATATGGATTTTTTACCATAAATCCATAAAGAAGGAACACCCCTTCATCCTATTGTCTCTACCATTGACTCACCCACCAACAAACTGGCCCGATTTCTGTCTGAGACCTTACAACCATTCACTGGTAAGACCACCCCAGCTGTACTCAACTCAGCTCACTTGGTATTGTTAATTAAGGACATCTCACTATCTCCAGGTGATTTGCTCGTCAGTTTCAATGTGGTATCTTTGTTTACCAAAGTTCCTTTGATTGACACGATTGCAATCATTGAAGATTTGGTCCAACAAGAACTGAATGCTGATGTACCGGCCCTGGTGAGACACTGCCTGACTAACACTTACTTCACCTGGAATGGAACATTCTACAAACAAGTTGAAGGTACCCCAATGGGTTCTCCCTTATCTCCAGTTGTAGCCAATTTTTTCATTAAAAATTTTGAGACAGATGCCATCCAGACATCCACTCTACGTCCGTCGTTGTGGAAGAGGTACGTAGGTGACACGTTCGTCATCTGGCCGCATGGCTGACCAGCTCTGAACCAATTCCTCAACCACATCAATTCCATACACGCAGCCATCAAATTCACCATGGAGGTGGAAAAGGATGGCAAGTTTCCATTCTTGGATGTTTTAATTGAAAAAAGACCAGATGGCTCAATGGGACACTGTCTACAGGAAAGCCACCCACACAGATGCCTACTCAAAACCTGACTCCCACCACCATCCATCCCAGAATAATTCCCTCATCAAAACTCTACAGCATAGAGCTCGATGTATTTCCGACCATCATCACCTAGCCAGTGAACTGGAACACGTACACCAAGCCCTCAAGATGAATGGATATTCAGACTACACAATCCGTAAAGCTATCACCCCAAACATCTGAGGACCCAATCAAAACCATCACCTTGCCATACATAGCAGGGGCCAATGAAAATATTTCCAAAATCATGAGCAAACACAAAATCCAGGTTCGATTTAAAACAGTACATAAAATTCGTGATCTGATTCCATCTGTGAAGGATGTGATCCCTGACATGCAATACTCCGGCGTCTATAAACTAAGCTGTGTCTGCGGCAGTAGTTACATTGGGGAAACAAAGCGACATGTCTCGGACCATGTTCGTTAACATAAGGTAGATCTGAAACACGGGAGGACCAATATCTCGGCCGTGGCTGATCATTGTATTAATGCGGTGGGCTCAGACGAAATGTATTTCTCTAAGAAGACGGTACTTTGCAAGCCCACTGGCTATCAAAACAGATTAGTTCATGAAGCCATCCAAAAAATGTAGTGTCTTGTAAAATCACTCAGTCGGACACGTTGTCACAAGTCACCTGCTTACACTTTATTACCCTATTCTTGCACCAGTTGTAGGCACTGCTGTCTCTGTCTATATGGCCACTTTTGTTAACCAACTTCTCCCATCTACTTTACACCTCGCTGACCTGCCTGCAGCAGCTCTTCCTCTAAGCAGCTCCGCACTCACAGCTCCGCACAGACAGCAGCTCACACAGACTCTTAGGTTTTTTTCGGTAAGGTCACGTAGGTAAAAAATAAAATAAAAAATTACTAAAAGTAATAATAGAAATAAAATAAAATAATAAATCACGACGTTTTGGAGGCAAGACAAGTCTCCGTCATCAGGTGGGACCATCACAGCTAGATTTGTTGTATCAAGTGAGGCAGAGATTCCAAGATACAAGTTCTTAAATACAAGCTTAAGGGGGGGAGGAGGGACATTCTGTCTACAGGAAAGCCACCCACACAGATTCCTACTTGAAACCTGATTCCCACCACCACCCATCTCAAAATAATTATCTCATCAAAACGCTATACCACAGAGCTCATGGCATTTCTGACCAACACCACCTGGCCAGTGAACTAAGACATGGACATCGGGCCCTCAGGATGAACGGATACTCTGACCGCACCATCCGCCAAGCTGTTTCTCCCACCATACAGAAACAGCCACTTGAAACTACGATCAAAACTATCACGTTGCCATACATAGCAGGCGTGACTAAAAAGATCTCCAAAATTCTAAATAAACATAAGATCCAAGTCTGATTTAGTACAGTGAAGGATGTCATCCCTGACTTGCAATACCCTGGAGTCTATAAACTGAGTTGCAGCTGTGGTGATTGTTACATTGGGGAAACGAAACGTCATGTCTCTGATCGTGTCCGCGAGCACAAGTCAGATCTGAAACACGGAAAAATGTAGTCTTCTGCCGTTGCCGATCATTGCTACAACGCTGTGGGCTCTCATATTGTTTTTTTCCGAGACCAAGGTGCTCTGCAAACCCTCTGGCTACCATCAAAGGTTTGTACATGAAGCCATCCAGATTTACAAACACAGACATAATTTCAACCGTGATGATGGGTACAAACTGAGTAATCATTGGAAAGATGTTATTAACCATGTAAAAAATATTTAACTACGCATTTTTGGACCATCTTATTTGACAGGCATTTACTTTACCGAGTGTTAACATCCCCAGCGTTTAACAGTACTCTCCTTTTTGTATTTGATTGTCAACCAACACTGGATAAAACAACATGGCCATTTTCGTTCTCTTCTCGCATGTGCACCAACAGGTCCAACAGTTCCACACACTCTCTTTTAGCCCGACCCCCTTCCCAATACGTTCCTTTCATTGACCACCACATTCAGATAAGCCCCTCCCTCCCTCCTCCCCCCCTTAACTTGTATTTAAGAACTTGTATCTTAGAATCTCTGCCTCACTTGATACAGCAAATCTAGCTGTGACGGTCCCACCTGATGACGGAGACTTGTGTTGTCTCCGAAACATCGTGATTTATTATTTTATTTCTATTATTACTTTTAGTAATTTTTTATTTTATTTTTTCCCTACGTGACTTTACCGAAAAAAACCTAAGAGTATGAATCCTTGCAGTCACGAAAGCTTCAAATCTAGAAGCTCACACAGAGCTTGCACACGGCTGCGCTCACACAGAGCTTGCACACAGCAGCGTTCACAGAGGCTTCCACCCAGCTTCACTCACACAAAGCTTCCACCCAGCTTCACTCACTCAGAGCTTCCACCCAGCTTGCACACAGCAGCGTTCACAGAGGCTTCCACCCAGCTTCACTCACGCAGAGCTTCCACCCAGCTTCACTCACTCAGAGCTTCCACCCAGCTTCACTCACACAGAGCTTCCACCCAGCTTCACTCACACAGAGCTTCCACCCAGCTTCACTCACACAGAGCTTCCACCCAGCTTCACTCACACAGAGCTTCCACCCAGCTTCACTCACACACAGCTTCCACCCAGCTTCACTCACTCAGAGCTTCCACCCAGCTTCACTCACTCAGAGCTTCCACCCAGCTTCACTCACACACAGCTTCCACCCAGCTTCACTCACTCAGAGCTTCCACCCAGCTTCACTCACACAGAGCTTCCACCCAGCTTCACTCACTCAGAGCTTCCACCCAGCTTCACTCACACAGAGCTTCCACCCAGCTTCACTCACTCAGAGCTTCCACCCAGCTTCACTCACACACAGCTTCCACCCAGCTTCACTCACACACAGCTTCCATCCAGCTTCACTCACACACAGCTTCCACCCAGCTTCACTCACACAGAGCTTCCACCCAGCTTCACTCACTCAGAGCTTCCACCCAGCTTCACTCACACACAGCTTCCACCCAGCTTCACTCACACAGAGCTTCCACCCAGCTTCACTCACACAGAGCTTCCACCCAGCTTCACTCACACAGAGCTTCCACCCAGCTTCACTCACACAGATGCTTCCACCCAGCTTCACTCACACAGAGCTTCCACCCAGCTTCACTCACACAGAGCTTCCACCCAGCTTCACTCACACAGAGCTTCCACCCAGCTTCACTCACTCAGAGCTTCCACCCAGCTTCACTCACACACAGCTTCCACCCAGCTTCACTCACACAGAGCTTCCACCCAGCTTCACTCACACAGAGCTTCCACCCAGCTTCACTCACACACAGCTTCCACCCAGCTTCACTCACTCAGAGCTTCCACCCAGCTTCACTCACTCAGAGCTTCCACCCAGCTTCACTCACACACAGCTTCCACCCAGCTTCACTCACTCAGAGCTTCCACCCAGCTTCACTCACACAGAGCTTCCACCCAGCTTCACTCACTCAGAGCTTCCACCCAGCTTCACTCACACAGAGCTTCCACCCAGCTTCACTCACTCAGAGCTTCCACCCAGCTTCACTCACACAGAGCTTCCACCCAGCTTCACTCACACAGAGCTTCCACCCAGCTTCACTCACACAGAGCTTCCACCCAGCTTCACTCACACACAGCTTCCACCCAGCTTCACTCACTCAGAGCTTCCACCCAGCTTCACTCACTCAGAGCTTCCACCCAGCTTCACTCACACACAGCTTCCACCCAGCTTCACTCACTCAGAGCTTCCACCCAGCTTCACTCACACAGAGCTTCCACCCAGCTTCACTCACTCAGAGCTTCCACCCAGCTTCACTCACACAGAGCTTCCACCCAGCTTCACTCACTCAGAGCTTCCACCCAGCTTCACTCACACACAGCTTCCACCCAGCTTCACTCACACACAGCTTCCATCCAGCTTCACTCACACACAGCTTCCACCCAGCTTCACTCACACAGAGCTTCCACCCAGCTTCACTCACTCAGAGCTTCCACCCAGCTTCACTCACACACAGCTTCCACCCAGCTTCACTCACACAGAGCTTCCACCCAGCTTCACTCACACAGAGCTTCCACCCAGCTTCACTCACACAGAGCTTCCACCCAGCTTCACTCACACAGATGCTTCCACCCAGCTTCACTCACACAGAGCTTCCACCCAGCTTCACTCACACAGAGCTTCCACCCAGCTTCACTCACACAGAGCTTCCACCCAGCTTCACTCACTCAGAGCTTCCACCCAGCTTCACTCACACACAGCTTCCACCCAGCTTCACTCACACAGAGCTTCCACCCAGCTTCACTCACACAGAGCTTCCACCCAGCTTCACTCACACAGAGCTTCCACCCAGCTTCACTCACACAGATGCTTCCACCCAGCTTCACTCACTCAGAGCTTCCACCCAGCTTCACTCACTCAGAGCTTCCACCCAGCTTCACTCACACAGAGCTTCCACCCAGCTTCACTCACACAGAGCTTCCACCCAGCTTCACTCACTCAGAGCTTCCACCCAGCTTCACTCACTCAGAGCTTCCACCCAGCTTCACTCACTCAGAGCTTCCACCCAGCTTCACTCACACACAGCTTCCACCCAGCTTCACTCACTCAGAGCTTCCACCCAGCTTCACTCACACAGAGCTTCCACCCAGCTTCACTCACACAGAGCTTCCACCCAGCTTCACTCACTCAGAGCTTCCACCCAGCTTCACTCACACAGATGCTTCCACCCAGCTTCACTCACTCAGAGCTTCCACCCAGCTTCACTCACACACAGCTTCCACCCAGCTTCACTCACTCAGAGCTTCCACCCAGCTTCACTCACACAGAGCTTGGCGTCTGTCAGGCCATCAATCACCCCTTATCGCACGTCTCCCAGGCGACACCTCCAGTGCCAGCGTACAACCCCGGGCCGACCCCGTCTGCAACCGAATTTCCCATTAATGAGGTGGTTTGCTCGTGAAACCTTACGTTCCACACGCGCACCTGCCTGCCTTCGGTTTCCCTTGGCTGGCAGTGCGCACCGTGTATTTTACCACACTACATATATATATAGACACAGACACAAACTAAGCTATCATTGGAAGGACGTTATTAACCAGTTTAAGTCATAACTGGCTGTGATGTTTCCATCCTACCTCCCGATGTTAATAGTTATTTTCGACTCTCTGGTTTTACATTAACAGGTTAAATGTCTACACCCATTTCAAACCTTTAAAACATCCTGCCTCAGCAGCTTTCCCGCAATTTTTTATCCTGCTGACGATTGCTTGTGTTGCGATTGAAACGTCATAGTTTTTTGTTATTTTATTTGAACCCATGTACGTGACGTCACCAAAAGACCCAAGAATATACATTCTCAAATGTTATTGTACCCAGGCTAAGGTCAATGCAGAGTGGTCAGAATCTATACTATTTGGTTCTTTCAGTAAAGTCACACAGGTATTAAATAAAATTAAATCACGACGTTTCAGGTGCAACACAAGCGTCCATCTTCAAGGTGGGACAACCACAGCAGAAGTGGGCAAAAGGGCTATAGCCTCTTGTCACGGCAATCAATGGATTTGTGAATGAACTACATGAACCAAGTCTTTCTGCTTGACAGCTCATCGGATTCCTCCAGTATAAATAAATATTCTGAATCTAATTTGTGTCATGTATGCATACCTGTCAACCCATACGGTTTTCAGGTCCATACAGCCGTTTCAATCCGGGCAAAAAAAGTGTTTATTTGTTTGTGATTCTCCCTTGTGATGGGACTGTCGGATGAATGTTGAGATTGATAATGGCACGGGGTTACCAATCAGGTCTGAATTTGTCTGTAATAAGGTAGGCACTGATAAGGGGTTGACAGGTATGTGTATGTGTGTGAGATTATGACATTTGCATGAGTGATCTTTATTCATGATACGTATGATTCTGATACAATGAAGCAGGAGGCATCAGACGGTCTAATGGCACCTACACTGTTTGCGGACGTAGCCTTGCTTGTGCATAGCCTCCAGGAAGACAAAGTCACTGAAGAGGGACCGCTCCAGCACCACTCCCTGGCCTGTAGGGAAATCACGAGCAGAAAAACATCAACCTCCAGTTACCAATGCGGTCAAACAAGAAACGTAATAAATGCCTTGCAAACATGCAACTTTGGAAATGTACACACAATGTATAGCACATACATAGGTATTCCTCGATTTACGAATGCTCGGTCTACGAAATTACACGATGACACAATTGACAAATTATTAACACTTTTCAATTTCCGAAATCAAATGTTTGCATCAAACAAGCCACCCGGGAGGCTGTGTCATCATCCATCCACGACAGCGTCACGGTGTCCCTGCAGTGCAATAGTAGCACCTCTACATTGCCTTTCCAGTCATCCCAACATGCAGCAGATCTTTAAGTGACTTCCCCGAATTGGTGAATTATTTTTGTTTTCAATAAATAATTATTCAATCGTTTCAAATATTTGTTCTTTAAATTAATGGGTAAAGCCATTGCGATTCACAAAATTTAGTTTCACTCGCGATTTTTGAAGAATGTAATATACATCGTACATCACCTCAGCCACACGCCGGCTGAGGTGCATGGAGCAGTGATATCTCGACAGCAATTATGCATGGGGGTTGTCTTACCGGTAGCTGATTGTCTGGTGTCGTGGGATGACAATATCCCGAGCAGCCAAAGCTGTGTTCGTGGGTCCATATTTTAGATCTCGCTAGGACGTGCACAAATATTCTGGGATTTGCACAACACAGTTCACAGCCTCTGCCAATTGCTGCCTGACAAATTGTATGCTCATTTCCTGTAGTCCGGTCCTAGGAGCTCAACGAGGTTGCACCTGGAGGCTTTGAGGCTTCACATGCGAGCGGCCGCAGGAAGGTCGAGATCGGTTGAAGTGCTATATACACTGAAGGTCGGTGAACCCACGAGCGGTTGCTGAAGTGCTCCGGGTAAAGGGATCAAGGCATTGAGCTCCGCATCTAGAAGCTTTCCATCACTTATGAGGCAATAGCTTCTGACAGCCACTTCAAGAATTTCAATATGCAACAGCTCCATGCATTGTTCTCGAATTAAAAGGAAGGAAAACTAATTTTCTGCTCCCATTTCTATTTGATGTCTAAAAGTGTACACTGCTATGTAGGGGAAACTCGAACACTTAGGTTGTGCTGCAACTCATTATAATGGGTCAAGAAACAAAGGAAGCTGCCGCGGTGCAATGGTGAGCACACTTCACTTGCAATCCAGGTCACCGGTTCAATTCCATCTCCCAGCGTGGGAATTGAAACAATGGAGCAAGTTTCTTAAATTCCCTCTCCTCTGTCCACCCAGCAGTATTCATGTGTGCACCAGTTAGTGGATCGGAAGGTCAAATGTGGTGGGGTAACGTGGGTTCTCTATCTCTTCCTATTAAAATGCCACTGCAATTCCCTGTTCCTGACATTCAGAACTGGTAATCAATTCTGAAAATGGTTACCTGTTTACTAGTAACCATTTGACAACACTCATTAATATGACAATATTTAACAAAGCTGAAACATTCCTGAGCAATTACAATGTGAATATAGCATTCATCCTCATCACCGTGTAGAGTGAACTGTGCACCCCACGTTGCTTACCGGTGCTGAGCAGGTGAACCAGTGCATCCGAGTACTGCAGCATACGTATGGTGTACATCCACAGCTGCAGGCGAAAGGCATTTCCATCCGGGTTGTTTGGGTTGGCTAAGAACTTCTCCAAGCTGCAAATGCCGCTGTAGCACGGATCAAGGATGGACCTGTCACCCGTGATGTGGTCCCAGTAGTGCACATCCGCAGCTGGCAAATGCAGCATGTCTAGCACAAGTGGCAAAGAAAAAATATTACACGTGCTACTCACATTGATCGTTTTTGCGTGTAGAGGGCGCTCCATTAAATATGTAGTGGATCCAACTGAGTCGCAGACGTACTTCTTGGAGGTAACACATTTATTAACACCAACACATAACACAAAGGGGTTACTGCCCCTTTACCAGATAACCTATGGTGGTGGACCACCAGGCTAACTACGCTAGTTACTGGGAGTAGCTACAAAGGACAGGACCGTAGCTGGGGTCCTCATCCACGTGTTGGTGACTTCTTCTTGGACGTAGAACGTAGATCTTCAGATGACGACAACAACGCTGAACCCCGTTCCCTGTGCGGACCCGGTTTATATCCTCCTGGGACGTGGCTGGCCCCGCCCTTGGCCACGACCACCTTCGAGAAACCTCTTGTCGTTTCTCGACCCTTCCCGTAGGATCTCACCCTGGCACGTGACCACCCCCTAGCCCCCACCTGGGGCCCTTGTGTAGATCTTACTAGTCACGTGCCTTCCAGGGTCAACCAGAGTGCCATGGCCTAGGGTAACCTCATCCCATGGCGGACACTCTCACACTCCCCCTGTAGGAGTCGGCACTGCACGCCATGTGTGGTGCCACTGCGCTATCCCAGCACTCACCGAGCCCCCTCTAGGGCTGGTACTACACCCACCTACGGGGTGTCCGCGATGACAATGCATTGAACGCCATGCCTCGCTAGAGCCGGCACCACACGGTGACATCTGTGATGTTACTACATCACCCCCCCCCCCCTCCGTAGCACTCAGCCATCCCAGCTGTCAACTCCCCCTTTTAACGAACTAAGTAAGGTGATAAAAGTGAGTAAAAAGTGATTACCGCTATGTGTGCCTCAACAAGTAACAATAACCAATTAAATACCTAAACTCACCTATACAATATTTACACTACCTACAAATGTACATTAACAAAGGGGAGAAGGGTGTGAGTACAGAACAACACGAGTGAAAAAAACACTGTGCAGTGCACTGCGAACGCTCGGAATTCCCTTTATCGCTAACATCTCCCACCCTCACAGAGTAACAACACTCGCAAGCACAATAAGGGTTAGGTTCAGCCAATAACCGATACGGCTTACCGAGTGTGACAACCAACTGAGGAAGTCAGAGTGTGTGTGTGTGGGGATCACGAAACCCGAAGAGTTTTAGAACGAGTTCTTGTGGCCGAGCCTCCAGGGGAGGTGGACTTTCTCTCCCTGGAGGTCACGGGGGAAATATGCCATTGTCCCTTCGAGTCCGGCTCCTCACGAAGAGCAGTAGGCCGGGTTGACAGGTTCTCCTCTCCCGAATCCAGTGGAGATGGCGCAGGCGGCGGTGCTAGGGACGTCAGGCGAGCGGCACCTGGGGAAGGGGTTCATACAACTCCCCTGAGGACCACCTTCAGCGGGCACACACTCCGGCTCGCCGGACACATCTGACACTCGGCCCCTGTGGTGTGGAGATGAAATGAACTCGCATGGCGCAATGAAAGGTTTGAGGCGCGAGGGATGCACAAACGAACTCCGCTGCCCGAAGTAGATCTGGATACACTGTGGTCAAACAACCCAAATCACATCAACCAGCCCTCTCCAAGGTTTGAACAATTTGGGCGACGTACCCACCGGTACCTGTGGACAGTGCAACCAGGCTCTGTCCCCAGGCGCTCACTCATGCATAGAAACACAGGAACCCATGAGCCGCTCATTGGCCAATTGACGCAAACCGGAATCAACCCTAGAGGCTTCCCACGCTTCGGAAAGCTTCTGAAGGGTGACATTTTGGATTTAGCTTTGTTGGGCACGGCCTGTAACTGAATATCAATCGGGGGGTCGTGTTCTCTCCCGTACATAAAAAAAACGGTGAGTGGATGAGTGAGGGGCCATCCTATATGCAGATAGGACTCCGGGAATGTGTAATTCCTAGTCGAGTTGGGACTCGCTGACCTGGTGGCTCAACATGGACGTCAGAGTCCTGTGTAGGCGCTCAACCATGCCATCCGTCTGCAGGTGGTACGGTGATGTGCATACTTTCTTTGTTCCCAACAAATCGCACACCTCCCGCAACATCTTACAAGAAAACATTTTTCCCTGATCAATCAGAAGACGTTCGGGAGCGCCCTTGTCCATTACAGCCATTGAGGAATGCTTCAGTCATCGTCGCCGCTGACTGGTTGGGGAGCGGCCAGGCCACAGGCCATCGTGAAAAATACTCGACTCTCACCAGCAAGTACTTATTCCCACGAGGGGTAGTGGGGAATAGACCAAGGATGTCTAGCGCAACTAATTCGTTTACGCGGGAAACCTGAATCGTTTGTAATGGTGGACAACAGGGTTTCGCCGGCGGCTTCCGCCGCGCGCACTGCACACACCCTTTCAACAAATTCGCGGCATTCTCAGCCATGCCAGGCCAGAACAAGTCCAACTTAAGTGTGGCCAGCGTCTTATGCACACCTAGGTGCAACAAGCGCTAGTGTACCGCCAAAATTACCTTGCCCCACAGGGCAGTGGGCACAACGATGTTGTATTGGCGCAACCCTCCGTTCCAATGCATTAGCAATCCGCCTTTAAGAATGACAGAGGTAATACCCCGTCGATCCTCACCCCCTTCAGGCTCTCTGACACGGCGTCGCAATTTAAGCAGGGAAGTGTCCTCCACCTGGAGGCGCCCCCATTCTGCGTGGTCCAGCGTCACGCGCCGCCGGACCCTCGGCCCACTCAGATATTACCACGACAGCCGACGTCACGAGGGGAGGGGACGAGGGCTCAGCGACCGGCTTACAGCGCCCGGAGCCCGAAAAGCAGGCGCACCCGCCGCTCATTGGTAATCGCGACAGGGCGTCAGCATTCGTGTGACGGGAGCCCTTGCGATAAGTAACCTTAAAGGAGTAATCCTGGAGGACCTCCAACCAACGTGAAAGTTGGCCAAACGGCTGGTCAACACGTAGCGCGTACCGTAGCGCTGCGTGGTCAGAGCGCACTTCAAAGTGCCTACCATATATAGAACGCGAATCCTATGAAACTGTGTACCTCACCCACCGACATGGGGGTCGGCCAAGTTCGAACACACGCGGTTTTGTCCGGGTCAGTTGCAATGCCCGATTCACTTACTATGTGGCCAAGATATCGAACCGATTTCTGAAGGAAGTGACATTTCTGTGGTTTCAATTTCAGGTTGGCCGCACGTATTTTGAGAAAGACAGCGCGTAGCTGTTCCAGGTGTTCGTCAAGCGTATGGCTGAAAACGATGACATCGTCGGGGTATATCAAGCAAGTCCCACTGGAGACCAGCCAGGACCAGTCCCATTAATCGCTGGAACGCGGCCGGCGCAAAATGAAGACCCATCAGAAGCCGATTGAATTCGAACAAGCCTTGTGGTGTACGAAAGGCTGTCTTGGGTTTAGAGGCTTCGTCTAGTAGCAACTGCCAGAACCGGATAGGAGATCAAGGGTAGAAAAGAACCGCGCTCCGGCTAGAGCATCCAGTGAGTCATCCATTTGAGGTAAGGGGACGCATCAGCGACAGAGACCTTACTAAGCTTACGGAAGTCAACACAAAAGCGGAAGCTATCATCGTGCTTTTTAACGAGTACAATTGGTGCTCCCCTGGGCTGATGGACGGTTAAATAATGTCCGCGGCTAACATTTCGTCAATCGCCAGCCGAACGTATTCTTTTTACACAGGGCTCAGCCGGAAGGGATTCTTTTGGATGGGAGCGGTATTGCCCGTATCAATGTGATGACTCAAAAGCGTAGTGTGTCCAATATCAAATTTCCCTTTACTAAAAACATCTGAAAATTTGTGCAAAAGCACTCGCAGCTTCCCCCTCTAGACCTCGGACAAATCCGCATTCTCGGAACCCAACTTCTCCATCCACCCCTCATCAGATTTCTGGTGCGGCCGCGTATTCGACGCGGCACCCACATTGCCCACAATGCTTCCCTCAGGAAGCGCTGGCGACGCATGAGCTAGCACGGTACCTTCTTGGATGACCGGCGTGTCTAACCCTGCGTTAAGGACCTGAATGAAGGGCTGCTGGTCGTTGGATACCAACGTCTGCACCCCCACCAACGTCAAGCCACGACTGACTTTATTAACAGGACCCAAGATAATTCCTCCCGCCGTCACCCCCCGATCTAGCGGCTTCCGCAATCGTAGGAGAACCAACATTTGTGCGCCGGGGGGAATCCTCACCGTCCTACACGCAAGTGCTTGCACGGTAGCATTAGCCGTGTATAAGCGCGTGGGAGAAGGCAAAAATGCCATTCGACGGCCGGATGGTAATTCCAAGCACCCCTGGTCAATCAAAATTTTCAGGGGCATTCTTCCCAAAAAATCAGTCCCGAGCAAGCAAGGAATTGAAAGGGACGTCGAAACAAGAACCTGCCCTGTCAATGTAACATCAGCAATGCACACCTCCACTGTTATTTTCCCAATAATTCCCAATGAACCACCGTTTGTGGCGAAGCAGAGCATGAGGAACAACATTTAGGGAGTAAGATGTTATAAATCAATTCTGAAATGATGGTCGCTGATGCACCGGTGTCAACGAACATCCTAATTTACACCCCTTCTATCCGTCCAATAACAGCGGATGAACCTGCGGTCGCGGCCACCACTCGCTAGGCCAGCTCCGACCACTTACCCGGTCGGAGCATCCGGCCGGCCCAATCAACATCAAGATCCTCCCGCCCCGACGCGCGACCGGAACGAAACCCAAAAACACGAGATGAGTGAGGTGGTTTCAGGGGCCGAGTGAGGAATGTGTCGCGACTTGCCTTAGGGTGCAGTGGAGCGAAGGACGGTCGGGCGGATGACGGCGGTGGTCCGGGGAGTCATCGTCGCCGTACGCGGCAGCACGACGAGACGTGTCCCGGCAGACCGCAGCTGTAGCACACGATGGGGCTGCTCCCGGGACGAGGAGATGTCTTCCGCCGTCACTGGTCATCCGCCCGCCGCACAATGCTGTCCCCTCGCCCACCTC